ACGAGGAGCAGAAGCTGTTGTACGATTTCAGCAGACAACACAAATAAAATAAATAAAGGAAGATGACGGTGATTTCCCAAGTGAAAGCTGAACATGACCCAATGGACTCCAAATGTGAGCAAAAGTGGTGAAAGTATTTGGAAAATTGTAACTGTCAAATGTTGCATTTTCTTTATTCCGTGGTGCCAATTCGCCTCGCTTCACCACCCGAACAAAGACGGATATAAATAATAATAATATAATGAACTGGGTAACCTGCTGAATTTGCACATGGCCATGAATCTAACGATGGTAAAAATATAACGAATAAAGCATTCGTCACGAAATGCACTTGTATTTCTAAAAGTTTAATATTTTTGTGTAAATCGGAACTTGGATGAGTATAAAAAAATCGGCAGCATGTGCATCTGGTGCTTACTGGAACTTGAAATACTAAAATTTTGCACTCCTCAATTGCGAGGAAATAGCTACACACACACGGAAGTAAGGTGTGAGCTTATAGTGCCAATATGGGGATTTTCCTTCCGAAGTGCCAAAAATAGTTCCTCCTTCCTCTCCACCAAAGTAGACTACTCGGCATCTCAGTCATTCTTAACCAGAGCAGTACAACATTAATAAAAAGTACTGTAATCACTGAATACACGAACGAGCTCAAAATTTCAGCAGATGTGCAGTAAAACAATTACAGAGAAATATACCCGGAGGTAACCTGATACTCGAAAAATGTGGATTGTTTTCTTATTGGCATTGCATTTCTGGTTTTTATCCTACGGTAATTTTAGGGGTTTTGAAATAGTCGCGTAATTTTTACCGAGCTATAAGCCGAGACGGCAACTAAACGCCAGAAAATTTCTGGTATGTGGTAAGTAATCACGTACATGATGTTAAAAACGGGTGACATATTTCATTCAGTAAAATAAGTGAAACTGCGGATGCAAGGAACGAAGGAAAAATTCTGCAGCGTCGAGTTCCAAAGTGAGAGGCGATTGGCGAATTGGGTAAAAACCTGGGGGATCGGAGAGCCACATAATGCACACATCCGAGCAGTCGTCACCCAGCCAGAGAAAGTGAATTAATATATAATCTCCCGTGTTGGTCTATTTTGACACATCTGTCGCTCGCTGGCAAGAAGAAGCAATACATTATTAGCAGATTTCCTGCTCCTCGACCCGTGTGTGGTATGCGTGGGTTCAGGAAAGTCAAGTCTGCCCCCACCAGCCGAATCTTGTTGCCATCTACACACGGACACGGAGCAGTACGGGATGCAAAAGTTCATATCTCTTTTCCTGGATGAAGCTCACGGACTTTGTCACACTTTGCGATATTCAGCAGTGCTCTCGATATCTTTCGTTATGAGTCCATGAAAATGGTTTTTGGGGAAAATGGCAAAGTATGCAATTAAATAGGTAAGTAACGTGAATTTAACAATGTGATAATTATGTATTCAAGTATTCTTACCTCATTGTATAAAAGCGTTCAACTTTTATTTTCTCATGTCGCCCACGTACGTATGTACATACGGATGAAGTTTACTGTTGAGTACATACGTCTGTTGCAACTTGTCTCGGGCGATTGATTGATGGTCTCGTAATCCGTTTGTGAGTGACACTGGATTTACGATACGCGAAACTGTCACCATGCACAAATTACTATTGTTGAAGTCTTCTCAACACGCCGTGCAGGCCAAGTTATCACAAATTTCACTGATTATTTTACACACGCAAAGTCTCACACTTTTTTTCCTCCTTTCTTACACCACAGCTTAAAACTATCAAAGCAAAACTTATATTCTCATACGAAACAGTTGTTGCTTGAAAATGGCACGATCTTGTGATTTAGTAGTGCAAAATGTGAATCGACAACTTAAAGGAGCGAATATCCCGTGACCCCACCATTTTCACGCCCGTGTCTGCAGAAACCATTAACCACCAGAACGATAACCACGGTCACTCTGCTGCTGATAAGAAGTCACAACAGGTTGGGATCAAGATAATGACGGTAATGATGATGCTGACTTGATGCAGATGTTGTTTCACTGTTGTAAGGACGACACGGCTGGAAATGTAAGGTGAGGGAGGACCGCAGCAGCCATGCAACCAGCACACAGTGTCGTCGTCGTCGTTGCTGGATTGCAATTGGAATTAGCCGGAACTCTGCAGCATGTTCGTCCGAATGTGGATAATATATCTCTGTCTGCAGTACTTTCTATCTGAATATCTACTGCTTATGGACGTATCAACACCGGAGAAAGTTCAGTTGAGACTTGTTGTGCTGAATGGGTTCATGTTATGTTGTTGACTTTTCCGTATATTTATCTAATAATCGATTGAAGCATTTCCACCAGGCTAGATATGCAACCAACAGGATCGGTCCCATATCAAATATTAACAGATCGGAGCAAGTAAAAAGCGACACGTACTAAAGCAGCTACCATAATAACCACGGCTTTTAATTAGGCCTGCTCCTGCTGCACAAACCAACAAACACTGCACAAAAAAACAATGAGACAAGGCACGGAGGAGGAGGAGGAGAAAGATGGATTCACTTATGTACATGCACATGTCGATGTTCTGTAGGTGGGTCCGAATACCGGCCGGTATTCATTTTCACTTTCACACACAAAACGTCCACTGTCACGACTGGCTTGAAATTATCTGCAAATGTTTGAAGGGGATGCATTGCATCATCATCGCCGTGACACACGAAGAAGATATTATTGAGCTACTTATAATTCCAGAGGCCAGGAAAATCATGACGACGACGACACTACCTTAGCAGCTCATGTATTTATTTCGTTGGTGTGGTGCAGCAGCGGAATTGGAATATCGATTATTGGTGCCAATTACCTGTCTCGGCTCGTTTATTTTACCTTTTTTATACATAAGCAATTATTACCTTTTAGCAATTACAAGGTTATTTGTGAAGTCTCGTCGTGCATTTATTTATGTACGCGAAACAAAGGCTTCTCACTCATAATTAATTCCCTACTTTTAATATTTATCGCACATTCTGAATTTTGCTGCAAAATGTTTACAAACTCGTCGACTAACAGGCATCCCATAAAATTTACAAACATTTCAACAACCAGGATCAACATATAAATTGAAATTGACGCAAATGGAAGGGATGGATTACATGAGAATGTAACAAATTACACTAAGAACGGGTTGAATTGCACTCTAAATTGTAAGTGTGCAAGAAAATGCCATAATTCAGAGAGAGAGAGAACAAAAAGGCTTACAGAGGATGCGACAGTGTTGAGAACATTTACGGAGAGACAGCGACATGAACGATTTTTGTGTTGTTCTTCTAATTTCTCGGTAACAGCTAATAACACAAAGAATTGGAGTGAAAAGAGGGAATTAATCGTTAAAAAATTCGGTTGGGAGACAATGTTGAAGAAATTCGGAACAAGGCATGGTTGCAATTTCAGAGCAGCCGAATTTATGGGTTTCTCAATGTAGAATGAGGAAAGACTGCTTCTTCCGAACTACACTCAACAAGCTATGCAACGCCACGTCGCTCTGATTTTTAGTAGCGTGCCAAATCCGTCTCACTTCCCAAATCCAACAAATCTATCTCAAATGTTTTCAAGTCTTAATTATTATGAGCAGCCATAGGATTACATGGACCACTATTAAAGACATGCAACATATACACACATACGTACAACTCAAGAAAAGCACTGCTCTATCAAGTGTGCAAGTCTCTTGGAGAGAAGTGAATGTCGTTCAGTGGTCGTGTTTGATGTGTTGGCTCCGTTTTAAATGAAGGAGAATGGATATAAAATGAACCGTAAATTCAAAATCCGACGACATCGAAAATCCGAGTCGAGAGGAAGATGGACAGATTCTTCGGAAATGTAGACTATATAATATTACATTGACTTGGCCACAAATTGTAAAATCGCAATTTATTTGCGCATATCTATACGTACGTACGTAGTATATTGGCTCACTTGCTAAGTTTTGCATAAGCAATTCTCTGGAGGGAGTATCGATATCATTTTTAACCACTGTGACGAATAATGGCTACAAAACTGCAAACTTGGTGTTCCTCGATGTGTAGGAATGTCACACACCCTACAAATCAATCCACTATGATCTCTCACTTTTGTGTCTAGCAGGACAACAAATCCTACGAATCCCGTGATTCACAATGTGATATATATTTTCAAAAAATTGAGCAAGAAAATTATTAAAATATGTTGGAATATCTACTCTTTCTCAGAGTATGCACGGTAAATAAAACAATATATGTATTACACGCAGCTCTAGGATTTTTGAGATGTCAAACCCTGAAGAACCATTCGAACGGGCCTATTTCATTTGAATGAAGATAGATCGAAATCCGAAAATGTCGCCACAACTTTTATATAACCATCAGTCACAATCAGACCCGTAAAAATGGATGAGACACATGGATAAGCTAACAAAGCAGATGCAAAGACGTCAAGACGGAAAACACCAGCAACTCCTCTACATCCTCCTAAGCATTTTTCAATGAAGGAGGTTTGGCAAACTTGTGAGTTTATGAAGCAGAAAGAAACGGAGGACGATGAGATTACGACGCGAAGACGACGACGACGACGACGACGACGAGGACGAGGACGACGACAAAAAATGAACTATTGGAATTGGATTGATACACTCTGATTTGTTTTGCTAACACTGTTATTCCCACACAAAACTAAAGAGTTCAACATATTTCGTATGGAACGGATACTGGTAACAATCCAAGACTGGTTGTAAATATGCAGTAGTCGCGTAATGTTATCCTCCTGCCCTCGTTCCCATAAATTTTTCATTATTATAAATATTTCCACTTCATTAGAAACTCAATTTTGCATGAATGGATCAAACCGTTAGCAAATTTGCGAACGGTTCGCAAATTCGCTCAAATGAAATCATTAAATTTATGTATTTATTTATTAAATTGATGATTTCATTACTTGTGGAAAATTTCTGCTCAAAATCACCACCAGGAAAAGCATAGTATGTTTTTGTATATACGCATGGTTATATTTATGAATGCAGAAGTGACAGAAAGTGTTGAAATTTTTAAACGATAAAAATAAAAAAAATCAAGTTACAGTGTTATAAGATAAACAATAAAATATGTTTTTTAATAATTTGACATCAGGATTTGTTAAATGTTTAAAACTAAATCTAAAAATGATAGATAGAGAACTACCATATAATTTTGTTGTTGTTTCTTCTATATACGGTAACCTTCTACCATTTAAGTACACAATATTTATAGTAATGGAATGTAAAGATATAATAATTAAGTAAGTCCTTAGCTGTAAGGTATTTGTATAACTTTAGGTAACTACAACAACATATAAAAATAGACAGTTTGTGAAAAAAACAGCCCAAAAGTATACCAAGACTAAATTATTAAAGACTATAATACTGAAGAGTTGAAATTACCAAAAGTAACTACATAGAAATTATGGCAAAGAAAAACGACACACCTGATGTTCCAGTGTCACACAAAGGTTTTGAACCAAAAATCAATTAATGTAAGCATAAATAACTTATCAAGTAATATTTGAACATTATAGAATACATCGTGGAACAACAACAGTGGTTCTTCTGAAGCGTTTTTTAAAAATTCCAAAGGTGAGGGTTGTGACGATGTGATTTTCTTAAATTAGTAAAAGTGATACACGACCCAAATTAAAATCCCACAACCGTAAATTCGTACACACATAAATCTAAGAATAAAGTCAAAAGGCAAACTATTTTAGTTTTTAATGAAGTTGATTACTTACTACGCCTACTTTCAAGACGCAAAACAAGATTCACGACCACGAAAAGTGACACAGTTTACAACTTATTCCAATATAAGAAATTTGCAAACTTTAGTTGCAAATTCTCACTTTAATACTAGGAAACTATCGGCTACCTCTGGCGATTTTAAGTTTGTCATATGTACATATCATCTCATTTCTACATACATATTGTCTCAGAGGGCTTCACCTAATTTTACCTGGTTAATTAACGGATACACATTTTCAAAATGACATTTTTAGTTCTTTTTTTACATTTTTTTTCCCTTAATAATGACTACGGTTGGTCTGTCTACGGTTAAAATTGTATGCACTCTTAAAACGAAATAAACTATAATCATAATAATTAATAATAATTAGTCGAAGCTTAGAATGGGATGATTTTTGATTGGTCCACCAAGTGGACTTAACCATAATGAGATTACATTCCATATAAGTGTACACTCGTAATCAGTAAATACTAGTAATAGAGAGGTAAAGAGAACAGTAGCCGCTACTACACATTACTTTCTGATCCAATCTGGTGAGGCACCAATTTTCTCCAATGCTTAACTGTTGGAGTCGCTCTGGAAATGAAGGATGAATTCAAATTAATTAAAGTTGGAACATTATTACTTGGTCTTTGGATTTAGAAACTGTTTAGGAACTTACGAGGAGAGGGTATAAGAATGTGGAGGCAGAGTCGCTCTGTAATTTATAATTGGAAATCATTAAATGAAAGTTCAACTGGTTTTATTTCCATGAATAAAATTTGTATAAATAAATACGACGTGTGCATACATACCCCAAATGCATTCTCAGCACGACAAGTGTATTCTCCCATTTCTCTCCAGCTCAAGTTTTTGATTACCAAGTTTCCAGCATCAGTGACCTGTGAGTAATTACAGTAAATTTGAAAATGTTCCACAAGTGACGCTGGCTGGCTGCATGTCGTAGTCAAGTTCTTGTTAAGTACGGAAATATGCATTCACCTTAAACTTTTTCCCGTTGGGAATAATTTTTCCTTCAAAGTCCAACCAAGTAACGGCAGGACGAGGTCTTCCAATGGCATGGCATGTCAGGATGGCATCATTCCCAATAGTTTCCATGTGAAGGTATTCGTAAGTCATGATGAACGCTGGCTGGATCTTTTTCCCTTTCTTCGTGTACTGCAGCATGCATGCGGATCTCATCTCGGGAGTGATGGTGTCTAAAAATAGGGGAAAAAATTACTCTCTAAATTAGATCAATCATGCAAATAATAAGCAGTTCGAAATAGCACACTCACCATCAATTGTTACCACCGTGGTGGCCATAAGTTGTCTCCCGTCATTCTCCGCAACGCACGTGTACTCTCCCTGGTCGATTGGGCGAAGGCATTTCAAGGGCAGTTTGGCCTTGACATTAGCCATGGAAAAGTCACGGCTCGCCCCGTCCCGTTGGACGATTTCATTCCATCCGAAAACATGATTGGCCAACTGGTCCACGTCGAAAGGTGTCATCTGCAAGAATTAACAATAACAACCTCTTGAACTGCGACCTTTCACCGATAAAGGAAAAAAGAGTCATCATCAGATTGACTCTCTGGTTCTTCAGATAAGTACATAATCGCATGAGAAATGTTCTTTCAGATTAATTTCCATGAATTTGTCTGACTTGGCATAATCCATTGTGTAGCAATTTAGCTGCATAAGTACTTATCTAATACCTCACATACTAAATAAGTCGTTAAGAGTACCAACCAACCAACTGACGCAAATCCTGTCACTCAAACCCGAATGAAAGAAAGGGTGTGTCAACCACGCCACAATATAAATGAAGCAAATTGTCAAGAGTAAATTTTAAACAGGATGCGATTTGACCTCCTCCTCCTCTGGTTTCAAACTACATAGACTACATTTACAAGCTACATTTCTATCATGCAAATCAAGCTGCTTACGTGTTTGTCGTCCTTGAGCCAGTATACGCGAGGTGGAGGTGATCCCACAGCAACGCACTCAAGGGTCAGATCTGCATTTACATGGGTGTTCACCACGGCAGGAAGCGTTCTTTCCAGTTCCAGCCACTTGTTGGGAGGCGCTTTCTCGGAATCCTTGTCTGCGTCGTTCAAATCCACGATGGCTTCTTTCTCCAAAACTGTGCATAAATAATTTTCATAGAAAATTGTCCCTTCTGAATTCGACATTTTACTTGCTATTGAGCTTACTCGAAGGGAAAATTAGCTCTGCATTGGTTGCTCCATTATCTTGGCTGGTGAGGACGACTGGGTCGGTGGATTCGGACCATGTGCGTTTCACCTTGCCCTCACGTCCCTACATATGAATACGTACCGGATGTCGTGAGATTGTACTCTCAAGATGCTTAAATATGTATGCATGTGACCAATTATATAAAATAATATCTCACCTTATTTCGTCGGCTGACCCTGGAGGGTCTTCCAAAGCTCAGGTCCAATTGTATCAACAGTGTGAAGAGGACCAGGCAGGCCATCAAGCTTGTTCGTTTGTTCATCTTGGTTGCAGTTGGAAAATTGGTTAGAAATGTGGAGTCTCTTTTTGTTTAGCTGTAATTTATAATAATCCATTTAGTTTTTTATACATGAGATGTCATTTAGCTTTTGAGATTTTCAACATGCAGTTCTAGCTCAATTTGAGAAAAGTCTCAACTTGCCTCCAGCCTACAACTCTTCCAGAACTTTAAAATATTACAATTTCCAGAAATATATGCAACTCTAAGACTGTTACGTAACAATATGAATTACTTTTTTATGCAACCGAAAGAATGACCACTATGACCCTCAATTTCCAATACCTAAAAGTTACGACGTTACCTGAATGAACCGGGGAAGGTGAAGCATGCTCAATTAAGTGCTACGTGCTGCATAATTGCACAACTTTCGACATAAATCTGATCATTGCTATACCTTTGGGTAAATTTATTCCCTACGTAAACTATGGCCCACCACCGAATTAGGCAAGAGATAAAACGACGGATCATCGTAATCTCCTAACGGTGTACATTTTACGATGATGTGCAACGAACGGAAAGATTTTTCACCTTTTTTCAGTAGGTACTGAATACTATCCGTCCGTGGCTATCTGGTCGTAGTGTGTGTGAGCCTCTCGTAGTAAATAAACTTGACACTGACACTTGACTCGAATAAGTAACCAAAAGACACAAGGTTAATTATCCACTCGTACTTATCGTCAATTATGGTATGATGAGCGTGTGTGTGTGTGTGTGAATCAGAGAGATGAGAGATGTTTGTGATGTTCACTATGTCGCTGTGATTCTTTGAGTGAGTGACGATGTTGAGTAACGCCAGCTTTTGTAAGACGAATTTTTACCAATAATGTGCATACCACCAGCTTCTTATCATTTACTTATATTGCACTATAAAATTATGCTGGAGGGAATGGAAGCACGGTGTGGGAATGCATGGTCGTTAACACGAGATTAAACCCCGTTTCTCTCACTGGCTCTCCAATATATACAGTCCTCTCGAGAGTCTCAACTTTAAGATTAACTCGCATGCTGGTCTTACTACTGGTGAGATATGTATTTAAATATTCTCATTTTTTGTCACGAATTTTGAGAAAATGACACTAGCTCTCAAGAAATATTAAGTTTAAATGCCATAGATTCATAAAATTACTCGGTTCGGATCGTATGATGTGCAGTGCACGTTGTAAAAATATCTCGAGTTCCAGTTTGTTTTAATTGCTTAAAGTCGCATAATTACTCTGAATGATTTGTTGACACTGCAGAATTTTTGTAAAGTAATTAAGTATTTGTATATCATCCCATAATTTTAAATGACTGTCCTTGATATAGAATTGCAACACTTTCGGAATGGCATGCAATCCAGTTCTATTAGTTCTTTATTTACGTGATGACTGTAACTAACGATGTTACGGGCATGATAAAGTGATACGACGATGTGTTTACACGATGTGCATGACCTCAAGATTTATTTTAGCCGTGTCACGTAACCAACACAAGAATGTATTGTAAATATTCTGTCAACTTTATGAAATATTAATTGACCAGTAACTTAATAAGTGGAAGTTTGTAAGTGGAATTTTGTAATCAGAGTAAATGGGCAGTGAAAGTTAAAGTTCAGAATACATAAGCGTATGCATGAACATCGTATTTTTATGTTCCTGCCTACGTGTTTCACGTCTTCTGATCCTGAGTACATATTTCCAGTCTCAGTGAACCTGATCGGGCGTTCGTACATAGGCCATCTTAATTGTTTTTATCGATGCGTGCGTCGTATCGCATATTATGCAACACCAAGCAAGGAATGACACCTACATCCTGCGTAAAGATACAATTTCATCATATTTCTACCAAATTGTACGTACTTTTGTGACAAATTCATCCATATGTCGAATTCTTTGGCCTAACGGAAAATTACGCAGTTGCCTATGTTAAAAATTCAGCAGCTGCCCAAAATAAATAAAATCTATATCATCCCGTTATTTCACTGATTTTATGGTCATTGATGAGCAATTTTTACTGGGAATAGAAATAGGCTCACGTAATCAAAAATTGTGTTCCATAAGATTTACGCATTCACCTCCACTGCCTACAAAGACTCCATTCATGAATGAATCAATCAATGAATATGTATCTTGTGGGTCACAACTTATGCCACTTATATATCTATCTTCTGACAGTAGGAATTTTTTTCGCTGCTTAGTTCACATGTTAGTGTTTTATGAATTGATTGGGAAATAATTGATAAGCTTTTTCCATTGCAGCTGAAGAAGTTCAAATAAGACATTAAAAACATAAATACTTTTTAATGCGTACCAGCTCTTGCTTTCATAGTTCAAAAACACTGCATATATAACGATGTCCAAAATAACAACAATAATTTCCCACTTAATTTTCTTGTAAGGCATGTGTTACATATTAGAAACTATTGAAAACCTAAGGTCCATCCATTGTACTAATTCAATTTGAGCTTCTAAAAACTATAAATATCTTTTGTTTTAAGACTCAAAGTCTAAAGGTGCATTTTACCACTCCAGGAAAAAAACGAGTTTTTCTGGTATTTCCAAATATAATTTTGATCATGAGTCCAAGACATGCAGTTTGGACATGCCAATGTAATAATAGCATTTACTTCCTAAATCCTAAACGTGAGGAGATACTGAGCACCCGCAGTCAGTGACATTTCAAGTATTCTTTTAATATGTGCTTCTCTCGGAAACGCTCTACTTTGATAAAGCCGGAATAAGGACGCATCAACTTCATATTTTTGCAAGTGCAAGCCTCTCATTAATGTAATTGTAATCCATCTTGTGTGCCACGAGCATCGCAAAGCTTGACAACGGGGCAACAACAGGCTGCACGAGTAAAGTGAAGCTCAAGTCACTTGATGAGATGAGAATCCTTATTTTTGTCAAGTAAATTGCCCACTCACTTACACATTGGCTACAGAAATGGGTTCCATTCCGAGGAACAGCATTTTTACGACTTCTTCTCAATTCCCCGTTTCTAAAGGAGCTAATGCTGATTTGAAAAAAAGTGAAATTAAATAAATGACTTTGACTTTGTCGGTGAAAGTCAGCGGATTATGTCCACGTGCCAAACCAAACCACCACAAAATGCAGTTGAAGAGGTAGTTATTCTATTCCGGGAATAGGTACGTACGTATAATAAAACATTATGGAAAGGCTACATGCTTCTACTCTATTCCATCATCTAAATCCTTGGCAAACAGATATCGTGTCGAGCGTTGCAAATTTAGTATAGCGTTCCCACACACAAACCTGATTTCTCGTGGCTATATTTCTGGCTAAAAAGAATAATATATGGTAACTGACAATGGCACATGTCCTACTAATTTGGTCTGCACAGGCATCCCAGCTACTGCTTCACCTTGATGTCTATCTGTCTGCTAGTTGAGTACGTAACCGTGAGAATATGGGTCGGGAGTTAAATATTCACTAGAAATGCATAGGTAGCTTTAATAAAAGTATTAATAGCTATTCGCATGAAATATGTTACTCAGAATATCATGTAATTCAAGGTTTCGAACGTCTATGATAATAATAATAATAATAATAATAATAACATATCCGATTAAATATTATGGTAGCATTGTTTTGGTTGAGATTGGAATTTCGTCATCACGCCACATCAATTCACAACCGGTGAGAAACTTGTAACCTTGACTAATAAATGGAAAGTCATTTGATAAGTGAAATGAGTAAAATATTGAGTAAGGCAAAGTTCATAAAGAATCGCAATGTAGGGCAGTGAGTGAGTCGGATTAAAAAAATCCACTCCTGCTTAATCGAAACAGTGAAATTGAAAGTCCATAATTGACTTTAATCATTTTCTCCAATTACAAACGGATACTTAAGCCAGGGTTGGATTTACGATTGCCAATTAAATTTCTCTAGGTTATCAAAGGTCTGTTCTGGAATGTAGGTATGTAACTAGGAATTTTTTTTACAGACCTAGTGTCAAATTTCCACAATCATGAGATACAATTGGGAATTAACCCAATTACTTATTGTCAAGGAGAAAGGGTTAAAGGGCATCTCAACTTTAACTTTGTACACATTCCTTCACCAGGACGCAGATTATTTGCATTTTACAGCTATTTTTAATGTGCAAACACAATAACATGATCGTCTGAACTACATATCCTACATTTCATCAGTTATTGAATGTACAAGAACCCTAATGTCAAAGGTTCCCAAATAACAAAGAGTCGGAAATTTGCGGTTTACTAACTTCCTATTTACAATTGCACGTCATCCTCATTGTTTGACTACATCCATACGTAAGTCATGAAAGAACCATGAAGTTTAAAATACGCTTTGAATCATGCTGAGGCAAACATTGCTTTTCTTTGTTCAGTAAGTTTATGGAATCTCAAAGGCATGCATAATAAAACGTGCAAAATTTTTAGCTTTTCTAATATTTGTTCGTTATACGCCTTAAAATAAAACTGGTCCTGAATTAAGAATGAAATCGGCTCCTTTCACCCCGTTACCGGATATAAATAAGAAATAAATAACAAGCCATAAATTCAGGTGGACGGCTTCTTCCCTGACATTTCTCCGTAAGAGAAACCCTACAAAATCTAGAATTGGGACATTGAGTAACACAGGTGTAAACTGAGTCAAAAGTTTTTGACATAACTTTTCAGACCCACCCGGAAAGTAATGAGATGAAAATGTCTACATAAGAAAAGTGCGACACTTTTCAGACGCAATTCAAATCAACGCACTGAATTTTGACTGGAAACTATTGTACCAAAAATAAATAATATTTGATTTGGTTATTGAACCCACATTGTCGAGACGATTGACTCATTCGCTGTAACTAATTTTACATGGACTTGTTGCATACTTTACCTGTACTTATTCTGGGTTGTTATTATTTATTGATCGTTAATACGCTTGTTCTAGACGGGGCTCAGACGGTTTTAGTATCCGTTGTAAAATTCGGGCAAAAACACCTCAATGCACAATTAGCCACCACGGAACCAAATGATCTCACCTGGACCAGGTACACATGGCATTTTAGTTGCATTTGTAAAGTCATTTGTTACGAATACGTTGTCTGCACGGGGCAAACAACGCCTAAGTTTTTGCATAAAAGGACACGGTGAAGGTTCACTGAATCGCAGATGGCATTAATGCTTCAGGTAAGATTGTGAAAAATGCTTGCATGCGATTAAATATGATTAAATATTATGTATTATGAAATTTTAATGCTGCATTCAGCCAATATTTGAAGTATCAATCTTGTTTATTCTCTTACCAGGAAACGATTTAAAATGAATGCTTTGATTACTTCGTCGGACATTTGATCTGACAATGAGCCATGAAACACTACATTTTACAGTCGGTAGTCCGTTTACAGAAGGCAAAGCTGACTGTGCAGTCCGACACAGTGGAAAAAATGATGACTTTTCCGAAGCTGATAGCCTTTAAGTATTTCGGTTAACCATGTTTTTTATTATAATCTGAAGCACACGCAAAAGTGATGCTCATAATTTAAAAAAATATATTATTTTAGGTCGTTAGCATACCAGAGGAAATTTGTGGTATCGCCTTTTCGCCTTTCTCACTTGCTCTTAATATGAAGAATACCTATAAAAGTTTGATAGCAATTAACCCCTTGGTGAGAAATCACTTAAAAAACTATCAATTTTAACCTATCCTTGGTCAATTAATTCTTGTTCGGTCATTTCAACTTACAATTTACAAAATACAGATACATAATTTTGTATTCATGATCCTTCTTATTGCATAGCGTCAAAATTCAGAACGATATACAAG